TCTTAAAATACCCATATATCGTAAGTAACAGTTATAAATAACGGTATTTAAAGCTATAATTTCCTCCAATAATTTTTCCTTGCATTCTTCTTCCTACCTTCGTTTTTTCGTTGTTTTTTATTTTATTTTATTTTTATTTTATTTATTATTTATTTTATTTTAAAATTGCTAATTCATTATTTATATAATCAATGTGGAAATTATTTTACAAAATGTTTTACAATATGCAAACTCTGTCATTTAAAATTAGATTAATTAGATTAAAATCTAAATAATATAATTATAAGTATCAGAGTTTGAATATTTTACATCCAGTTCTAAATATTTTCTTGCTTTTTTCCAAAAATATGCAATTATTTTGGAAATATAATAAGCAATTATTGGACAAAGTAAATCAATAAAAATAAAAATATGTCACGTGAATTATCACGATTGAGGCTGTGTCATGTGCCAAATGCTTTTGACTGGAAGGGATAAACCCCGGGTGAACCCATGATCTAATAATTATTTTTATATGTCTCATTATTTGATGGATAATTTACTTTCATATTATTTGAGATAAAACCAGACTGTATTTAAAAGTTAATTTTTGGGATACAACCAGATAACTCAAAATCCCTTGAGATATAAATAACGACAAAACACCCGCCATGTTGGTTGTTCTAACAAGAGAAGCTAATGAGGAATGCTTCGTAATCGTCAACCAACATGGCGGCTATGACGCAACATGCTGCTCAATAATTGATATGATAAATGAATCATCTGCAGAAAAAGCACTAGATAAATCATTTATCGTGAGCAAGTCACCTTCCAAGCTATTGAATTTTGGTAAGATGAGTGTTCTTAGGTAATCAGAGATTAGTTAGTAAAGTGTACAATAAATTAAACCAAGAGATTAGTGAACTGGTAGCCAGGAAAGGTAAACAGCAGTACTGGTAACAAGTAGACCTATTTACACAAATGTTATCAAAGTTGCAATTCAGTGATTCTTACTCAATGTATTAAAGCTCTGCGTCTACGTCGAGTGTCACGATGAGGACCACAATGAGAGACTGTGTACTTTGAAACTAAGTAATCTTATGCGGTTTCGCAGCCATCTTAAATAATAAAATAACATTGTTGAAACAGAAAGCTTTCATCACCGAAGTG